CAGTGAGAGTCACAACAGGTTTTGTTTTTTTTTTTTTTTTCTTCTTTTTTTTTTTTTTTTGTTGTATACAAACACAGCAGGCAACCTGGGCGCTTGGACTTTCTAGACAGGCAGAAGAAAGTTGCACAAGTCTAAATTTCAGTCAATTCAACTTTGCAGTGGATCCCTCTTTCCTTTAAAGAAACACAAAAACAAAACAGAAAATACACCCCCCCCCCCATGGTTTCTTTCTTGGAATGGCTGCACCTCTTATAATAAGATGGCTTCATTTTTGTGATCTATGAAAGGAAAAGGAAATAAAGTGCTTCTTGAGAATAAATCAAAATAAATATACATATTTAATGGCAGGAAAAAAAGAGTTCTGAAGGGCTACCTCCAGCCAGGTCTTTTCTCAGATGAGTCTTTTCCCCCATAACTTTTTCAAGAGCAACCTGCACAACAGTTGAAGATGCCAAAAAGTTGCTTTAGCAGCAGAGTTGAATTCCCCCAAGTCTGTGTCTGCTCCATCACTGGTTTGTAAAATCTGTGCAAAACACCTTTGCCCAAAGTGCTGCTCTTCCTGCACAACAGCATCAAATAAAATACAAAAGAAAGAGGAGAAGGAAAAAAACAAACCCAACCAAAAAAAAAGAAGGAAAAAAAAAATCCACCCGGTTACATCGACTTCATCCCATTGGCAGTGGTGTTCTCCGAGATCCCGTCGCTCACAGCTGCCGAGTCATGGAGGCCAGAGTAATCCTTGAGTTCAGAGTTCGTCAGGAGCAGGGGCTGCTCCCCCTTCTTGTGCGGCAGGAGGGGCTGCCGGGTGTAATGTTCCCCGTCCGGGATGTTCTCGGGCAGGTTCTGGTTCTTGCTCTCCGGCAGCAGCAGGATGCAGATGATACAGATGAGCGTACAGCAGGCGAAGATGACGTGGTGGAGGAAGTAGCCTTTCTGGTTGTGGAGCTCCATGATGGGGGCGGTCAGGCGGCCGAAGCCCGCGCTGGCCAGGACCAGCCCCAGCCCGCCTCCCCTACAAAGACAGCAGAGGTAAGAGCCCGGCCCTGCAGCCCACTCCTGCCACTGCAGCCCCATCGGCACTGCGGTGGGGAGCCCACAGCCCCGACGGGTCCCCCAGACTACGCCCCTGTCTGCCATGCGCCCCAGCATCCGAAATACCTAAGGCAAACCTGGTTTGCTCACAGCTTTCATACTCCACAGTTACTCCAGTAGGGAGTTGCTTTGCTGTTGTAGATCATTGCTGCCTATTTGCCTCAGTGTGAGGAAATAATTATACTCGCTTAAGTATCTTTTACACACCCATGTAACTGCCCCCACATACGGAGAAGAGGAGCTTTATCATGTGAGTGTGTAGACAGCCCTCTCAATTATTCCCATTTCCAAGTATACCCATATTCAGTGAGGGAAAACTGGGTTTTGCTTAGCATGCCAGCCTTCTCCAGCTTAGACAAGACACACCAAGAAGCAGTAGGTGCAGAAGTCAATTCTGGCTGCCTCTAAAGTATCTAACATCAATCAGGAGTGGAGACGGGAGATTAGACTTTACAGACCCCTGCCTCAATCCATTATACCAAACACTGAGTGCTGAAATATTTTCTCCATAAAAACATGTTGTGGCTGGAACCTCTCAACACACTGATGTTGTAATAAAATGCATAATTTTCAGGAAAAAAAAAAAGAGAACATAGCTAGCGGTCAGAATAGGAGAACGAGAGTTTGGGATTAATTTCTGAGACTTCCTCTTGAGTCACTGTACAAGTTGAGGTCAGTCCCTCACTTCACTCTTTCTTGCTCTTCTTGTGTATTCTTGTATCACAAAAAGGTTACAAAAAGGTTAGCATTGGTGAAATGCTTAAATTATACATAGGTAACTTCATAAAATATTCTTTATGGCAGAAATGCTTATTTATTAAATGCAATGTGCTTGTATGTTGAGATCATACATGCACGCACACCAAAAAACAGTGGAAACACATTAAAGCTTAAAAAAAAAGTGTGAAAATAACCTCATCTTCCTCTAGTCACAAGTGTGGAAGTCACTTGTGCAAGCCAAATTCAGTGCTCTCTCCTGATGCTCGGCTATGCCAGCAACCTCTCTTGCAATTCCTCGTCTTGCTCCTCAGCGTCTCTGCCGGCCCCGGAGCAGGCAGGCCTGGCACACCCCCGGCCGCCTGCGCACGCCCACCTCGGTTTGAGGCACAGCTTGTGCTCCCGGGACCTGTTCCTGCTGGGTGACCCCATACAGAAGTGGCACCGCAGGCGTTTCTCTGGGGCAGACCATTCTCTCCTCCTGCCGTGGCACGACCGAGGTCTCCGGCCAGAGGAGCGTCACCCTCAAGTGACTCGTTTTAGCAAAATCTCAGAGCGGCAGCTTGTCCTTCGTTTTCCAAAGACCCTGCTGCCTGCAGAGGGAGGTCTCCCCGTAAGCTTAATCGCTGGCACCCTGCTCCCCACTCCCCCATCAAGCTTGCCTGGGCAGCACGCTTCCTGCATCTCCTCCGGGAGATGCCACCTAATCCCAAACCCTCTGGTCATCAGACGGGCTCAGGTGCTTCAGTTCCTGGCCCAATGGCAGAGATGTAATTATTAACGATAACCAGACCTTACAGAAGACAACCGCAGAAGGCAAACGAACTGCTTTACATCAACTACTTGGAAAGAAAAGTTTCATCGACTATTGAGCATACTAGAAATCACAGCACTATAAACCTATAAATGCCAAAATCACTCAGGCAACCACCGTGTTAAAGCTAATTTTCACCCGATCCTTTCCAAGATCCACTGCTGCTTACTTGGCAGCTAAAGGGCAGCAAGCACAGGTTTCAAAAGATGCTCTTGGGACGCTGACTGGATCAAAAATTCACATACGTATCTTCTAATTCTCCAGACTCAGCACAGCATCTTTCACGGACAACAGTGATTTCCCCAAATACCGCAAAAGCCCTTATTAAAAACTTGCCAGCTTTCCGATGGCAATTTAGAAACCCAGCTGAACGCGCCCATTGTGCAACCGGCCTCCCTGCAACTTCATTAATACCCTCACATGAGTAATCGACACAACCAGCCCCGAACGCATGGCAAAGCACTCTCCAAGCTGGCTCGGAAGCAACAAAAGCCCGTCTCATTTACATCAGCGTTCGCTACTGCTAAATTGTATCTCAGACCCCGAAAAGGACCTGAGGTGAGTTTTAAAAGCCGCTGTAGGAGGACATCAAGCAAGCTGAAAGGAAACAGGAAAAGACAACAACAAAGATGGCTCTGTCATTACAGGTCAAGCGGCTTCAGATTCAGAGGGAAAAAAAGTTTTTCCATATGACGTCAGTAATTAGAGCAGGCGTTACTTTATCCAGCGCCATCAAAACCTGGCAGAAGGTGGCTTGAAAATACATTTTGGTATGCATCCTAGAAGATTTTTTTTTTTTTTAATGTTTGACTATACTGCAAAAATGAAAATGGAAAAAAAAAACCAAACCCAAAACGCCCTGAAAATACTGTCAGGAATTTTTTGTTGTTCATGTGTAGGTCAGGAAAACGGATACAGGGCAAGAGAGGCAGCACCCTCATAATCCACACTCTTTTTGCATGCGTCATGGGGCAGCAGGTGGAAACCAAGAACATGCAGGGTGTTTTGAGGCACTGCTCCCCCTCAGTACGAGGTCTCCCGTGGCTCGGGGCCAGCGTCTGTACTTCAAACGTGCTCCGAGGTGCAGAGCGGAGCCGAGGGAGGGAGTGTGAGGGCTGCTGGCACCCACAGCGAGCCCCAGCTTCTCCCCTCGCACTGCAGCCTGGCAGCAGCTGCTGTGGGGGGCTTTCCCACGGCATGGCCCCATGGCTGATCAGAGCCCCTTCCCCGACCTCTGCTTGCCCAGCGGCAGCGAGGCAGGATGGTTTGCATGAAGCTTATGGTCCTGGCATGGGGAAACTGCAAAAGGATCTTGGTCCAAAACTGTGTTCTCAGAAATAGCCTCCCTGTTGACAGGGGAGAATTTCATCACTTGCTACCACCGTGTTTTTTCAGAGAGCAGCAAAACATCCTCACTGATATTCTTTGCTCGAACCAGACTAAACCTAAGAAAGGGGACTTGCCCTTCTCAGCACTGCTCAGGGGAGCAGAGAAATGTTAATCCAATCTTCAGATGGCCATTTGTCTGTCTTGAGCAAACGAGTTGACACATGGCATGGCTCAGAGTACAAAAGAGCCAGAGAGCTACTCTGGCTGGAGGAGACTTTGGGAGAGCACCTACTCCAGCCTCCTACACAAAGCGGGGCCAACATGGAATTAAGACCAGGTTTTTGGGGCTTTGTCCAGTCAGCTCAGCCACTTCTTGAAGTCAGTCCCTGAAAACCTCCATGGTTTTTCCCTGCCTTTCCTGTACATAAGTGACCTTGTGTGCTAGAGCCTAGGCCAGAGCTTCAGTAACACACCAGGACACCCTTGGCCTCATGGGGCAAGGCACCACCTTTGAAAAGCCAGGCCTGGTTCAGGTTCCAGTAAACAGCACTGTACACCACTGGAAATTTGGTTTGAGACAGCTATTGATGGGTAAAGCTCCTATTTTGGCCATCGCTGCCCACTCTTCTTTGGCCGGGTGGGCACAAACGCAGGACACGGAGAGAAAAGAATAGATCTCTCTTCCACTTGGTAGTAACTCAGCATGCAGAAGATGGGGAGAGGACACACCATGCTTTCCTCAGCCTATTCCTGTTTAGCAGCCGTGCAGACTGCAGTGGTGTTCCCATCAAGATTATTAGAGATGGATTATTGGCGCCACTTAGTGCTTAAATTCAGCATTTGGAAGGAGCTCTGTACTGAAGCCCCCAGTACAAGGAACGGGAGCTCCTGGTGAAGCCCTCCTACCTAGCGCCAGGAGACCGGGGTGCAGTGCAAGGGCCCCTCTGTGCCACCTGACAGCATGGGACCTCTGTGTTTCTGGAGCAGGCGGCACCTCTTGGCGATGAAGATGGCTCTTTTCCTCCTACACTGCTGTAACTGTTCATGTCAACACCACAGCAGTAGAGCTGGACAGGCGCTATGGCTTCTCTATCATGCCACTGCTACCCTGATAACGGCAGTGCTGTTTTCCTCCCTCAGGGATGGGGGGTTACAGGTAAAGGATTTGATCAGGGAAACCCCAGAGACGGTCCCAGCGCTCTCTCTGCCTCCCTTTTCCTTAAGGTTCTTCGAGATTCAACCAAAAGCATGTTAAGATGGCCTGGAACACTAAAGAGCATTCGAGGCAGTATTTTGGAGAACAGGTTACGAGGAAGCAGCCAGATCCCACCAAAACGCAAGACACAAGGCAGCTTAACCATACCTCTGCCTGAGACAGGTTTATGCACCGTCCTGTGGTCTACCTCCTAATTACAGCCCTGAGTGGATCTTATCAAGACCTTCACGGTGGTAGGACTGCAAAGCGCTGCAGAGCGTCATCGTCCCTATTAATATATGGGGACCCTGAGGCATATCCAGCTATTGTCACTCACCCGGTGTCACCCAGCAGAGGCAGGGGAAGCAGAATTTCGGCTCCCAGCCAGCATTTTGTCCCCTTCCCTGTAGCAACGTAAGTGATTTAAGGAAAAACCTTGCTAAGTTCACACTGCGCATTTGACCCTACTTGGCAGATTCTCTTCTGGTTGACGTGGCCAATTCCTTATCTATGTGGCTTTCAAACAGAGACAAGGAGAAAATTAAAGAGGCATAAAAACACCAAACTGACTGACACACACATAAGTAAATAGCTGTTAGTGTTTCAGGCTGCCGTATAATCTCCTCACCACTCACACTGCCTTTCCCTGCAGAAATAACGTTATCTGTAAAATACATTCGCAAAGTCAGATAGCTTGGAAGAAAGGCCACGGACCAAGGAGACTCTGGCTACTCAGCTGACAGTTTTGCTATAATACTTTTGCAAAGTTATTGAATGGGCATATAATTTGGAGAGAAAAAGAAAAAAAAGAGTATCCTCTTCCCTCCACCCTCTCTCCCTCCCACCCATATGGCCTACATTCCCGGGATTTAGACTGAACACAAGGAAAAAATTTTTCATGATGAGGGTGGTGAAACACTGGAACGGGTTGCCCAGAGAAGTGGTAGATGCCCCATCCTTGGAAACATTCAAGGTCAGGTTGGACGGGGCTCTGAGCAACCTGATCTAGCTGAAGATGTCCCTGCCCATTGCAGGGGGGCTGGACTAGATGGCCTTTACAGGTCCCTTCCGTCCCAAAGCAGTCTGTGATTCTATGATTGTATGAAATTCAATGGAGTCAGGGCGGACTCCTGAATCCCTGTGGCATTGCTGAAAGCATAATGCAGAACACACAAGCACAACCTTTGTGCTGTGAAAGATAACAGTGAATACATAAAATGTTACAAAACCCTGACTACACAAAAAAGACATTTTATGGGAAGTTCTCCAGCGAAGGTCATCTGCCTGATTTCTACTACTCCCCAGGATGAAAGCGCTCCTTTTTAGAAAAACTTTGAGCCCCTGCTAAGATAGATCTGGGTGCAAAGAGAAAGATGACTTTATCTGCAATAAAGGCAGACCACTCACGCTGGTGCTGCTGTAGGAGAGGCAGACTTGCAGAGCACCTATACGCACCAGAAGCATTTAACACTGCATGTTGCAAGACCTCCTTTCCACCGAAGCACCCCTATAGCTGGCCTGATTAACCTGCCCTAGGGAGGCAGGGATTGCCTGCACCTACGTCCTCCCCTGCACGCTCGTGGAATTTCTCTTTTAGTATCAAGCCGTAGACTCACATGGTCACTGTTTGTACAAATCCAGCAGAGTAAGCGAAGCAGAAGCACGGTTCAACTGCACGATCTGGTTCAGCGAAGTATTTAAGACCATACTGCACTGCAAACAAATGCAATTTGTATGATGCCTGGCCTGCCGATAATCACCATGATGGGACACAAGGTGGAGCCATCGGAAGCAAAGCCTCTCTGTCTACAGACAGGCATTTATTTAGGCAGACTGACTGCAGCGACATTAAATTAAAGAGCAGCCCAAAAATCGCTGCGAGGTCTCCAATTATGGGGGATTTCCCCTCCCATACAATGTGTTAAGTTACAGAGCCAGTTATCAATTAAATGAGGATATTTTTGCCCCCGTCTTTTGAAGAGGGGGGCTCCAATGTCTCACCTGATTACCGTGGGTGTGATTTCAGCACAGAAGAATACGCTGAGGCTTCCAACGGCATGCGAAGAAAACATACCCACAATGGAAAACGCAGTAGAGAATTTGTCTTTGACGCTGTCGCTCATACCTGTCAAGACAAGTGTGTTCATAAAAAGTGAGAAAGAGGCCAAACTTCCAAGGAAGAAAACAAGAAAACAGGTTTATGTTACTCATTCTCCCTAGACAAGAATTTGAGTCATTTCTGTAATACTAATTTAAAACTGGTATTTATAAAATCCATTTCCCAAGCACCAGAGACACAAACATATGTGAAAAAAATCATAAAGTCACACCAAAAATGGCAGCGATCTCTGAATTATTTATGCCCAGCCACCACAAAAAGGTAAAACCCAAGAAAAAACACATCTTTGGGCAGTCTTTTAGGCACCAGCCACTTCCCTCCCACGTTTGACAGACAGGCGGAGGCAGGCAGCGTTCATCAAGCTGCCAAACATCTGGTACAGCTCGGTGGCTTAGGCACTGGAGAGGCTTGCAGGACAAGAGGGGAAAGAAATAATTAAGTGCTCCCATCTCCGTGCTAAGCCCCTGCACGTGATCAGTCTACAAACTCTGTTGTAACCCCCAGCTTGACAGCCTTCGCCTGGCAACTCTGGGCGAGAAAAGCCGATGCCAAGGATGCTGAAGCACTCCCCTAAGTCACTGTGTCCAGCAAGGCTGTTTGCTCAATCATTTCACGGCTGGATGGCAGCAAGGGTTCTGGGAGCGAACAGCGTCTATCAAGCACAGGGAGAAACCGCAGTAAATATAAACAAAGCTAAAGGAAACTGCCTCCGGGCCACGATGACAATACGTCCCTCGCTTGACCCTCGCTCATCACCTTCTGCAGGCAGGGTTGGGATATCTGACCCAGGGTTGTACAAGCTCACGTGGGCTGTCCTGGCCAGCGAGGAGGCCATGTTGTTCGCAGAGACTGTTGGGCCAGACGAGGGGAACACACGGTGCCTAACAGGAGCGCTGGGGACAGGACTGGAGCTCTGCAGCAAACGCCCCCCACCTTCCTCCAGCCAAGTCCCAAGAGCTGCCCAGAGGAAGGGCTGCTCATCAGCGTGCAGTCCCAAGCAGGTGCACTTTCTTGGTTGGATCCAACGAAAAGTAACACCTGCTTTTCTTCTTGCTGAATGTATCAGCTTTCAGGAGAGCAAAAGGTGTTCGGGAGCAATTAGGTTACAACTTCTGAAACGTGCTACAGCCTGCTCAGGGCTAAGCCCTTTCTGCAGTGCACCCCAAGTCTGCGGGAGAGAGCAAATACTGCCAGCAGATAAGGACGTGAGCACGGCACCTTGCAAACTATGAGTCTCTGAGGCTCCCTGGCAACTCTTGCGTAGCGGGTGAGGCTGCACCACTGACCCTGCAGGGTCGTGACTGCTCAGCTGAGCAGACCTTGGAAAGGCTGGGCAAGGACAGGTCCGTTAAATCAAATACAGAAGGGTAAATTTTGTTCCCCTGTAGCCTGCACTGCATTGCTATTACAGTACTTCAGGCTGGGATAAGGTGCCCAGGGAAGTATTTTCTAAGGTGCCTAAGTCCCCTTTATCAGAAGGGACTCAGATCTTTCTGGAAAAGACCAAACTGGGAATGCTGCTTCTGAGGAGACTTTCTGAGAAAGCCTTGCCCCATATGTAAAAATAAACCTTGGGGGATGTCTGCACCTTCTCTTGACATGCAGAGGCAAGTCAGACTATGTAGAGGGGATGCTACACCAAGAGACTGCATATAAACAACAGGCCTGCCTACGAGCGGGGTCCCAAGGCACTGTGTAGAAGTGGGCTTTCCCCCTGCATCCCTCTGCAGCGGCAGCTCCGCTCTGGGTGCTTTGGCCCTGGCCTTTCGGATCTACCTGCTCCCGGGGGAGCGCTTCCTGCGTGACGCAGACTCATCTGTAAACCATACCTGAGTCTGGAAGTTGACTGTATTTTCCAATCACTGGATCCAAGACCACAGAAGTTAGAGTAAGACAAAAATAAGAGAGAGAGGGAGAGAAAAAAAGAACATGCTGTTGTTACATATTTATCCAAAGGAAAAGGAAAAAAAAAAAAAAGGTAAATCCCACATGCCACCCTAGTCCCCCTCCCCATAGATTTCTCCTTTCCCATGCCACGACTGGCACATCTTCCTGTGGCCACCAGATAGGACATGCCGTTTCCAGGCCCCTTTCAGCTGGAGGACAGCATGCTAATGAGAGTGATAACAAACGCAGCAGTAAAGCATTTTTAAGAGCCCCAGAATTACCACTGGGATTAACACAAAGGCCTCTTTGTCGTTAACGAAGGGGGAGAAGAGAAATGGCCACGGCCCTCGTGCTGCAGCCCTGAGGCTTCAGTTAGAGAGCAAAACTCTGGGCACCAACACTGTCACGCTGGTGGGAGACCTATTCCTCGCCAAAACCCTAGGCTGGTGGTCCATGTGTCACGCTAGCCACCAGCTGCCATGTGTCCTAACCGCTAAGGAGCACACAGCAGTACTGGGCAGCAAGGGGAAGGGCAGCGGCACGAGCTGGGCACAGCTCTGCTGGTGGTCTCCCACCAGGCTCCTGCGACATCCCAGGCGACATCCCAGGGTCCGGAGGAAAGGCCAAACACGGCAAGCCTGAAGGTCTGCTGTGGGTTTGCTGCCAATGGAGAATACTCCTCTCCCTCTCTCACCCTCCTTCTCAAATTCTGATTTCATTTGCTAATTACACCAAAATTATGCTAAGCTAAAACACGCAGGAGGCTGTAACAGATTTCATAATCAGCAGGGTCACCACTGCTCTCCAAACACTGTCTAGCTCTTCTGAGGAAGAAGGGGGGCACGGTCTAGGGCAGGGGGAGATGAGCTGCTCTGAAGTTCAAGGCTGCTTTTCCCTCCTCTTCTCACAAAGAAAGGGGCGAGGGCAGAGTGGGGAAGGCTGATGGGTGCACGACATTGAGAGAAGTCTGGGTGCCAACGTAGCAGAAAGCACCTAGTGCCCATGGCTGCTCTTAGTTTTAGCAACTTTGCTCACAAAACCACCTAAACCCATTACGGAAAAGGTTGTAATGATTCCTACAGCGTGTTCCTCCCCACCTGCCTCACCCCTTTTTGTTGTTGAAAAACTGCAAGCAGATTTTCATGGCTCTGGAGCAGACTAATGGCTCTGGCACAGTTTCTCTCCACTAAGCAATTGCATGTTTATTACCTCAACAGTGTCAACAAACATCTGACATCCTTAAAAAAAAAAAAAATTAGTTGAATCTAGTCTAGAGAGACCCTGATGGACACCACCACAAGAACGTGAAGTTTTGGGAGGTCGCACACACGCACAGTGTGCATCTGCATGTGAATGGTCAGGTCCAACGGGCTGGGGATGAGGTGGGGCCAGGGGGCTTCTCCCGCTCTCCCCTGGGGCTGCTGGACATGGTAAACGTGTGCTCAAAGGGAATGTAAACATTTGTGCCAGGCTGGGAGCAAACACACGTGATTCTGGAGTTCCCTCCATGTCATGAAAGAGGTTCCCTGTTTCCATCCTACACTCCCACAAATAGTGTGTTCACTAAAGGTTAACTTAGTAAACGCTTTCAGGAAACATGCTCTGTAAATATGGACAGTTCTTGCTGGCTCGGGGCTGCCTTCAGCATGCGGGAATGTGAAATCTTTCCATCCTCAACGCAAAAAACTTTCTCCCTTAATTATTTCTAAACTTAGAAATGACAAACAGCAACAACCAGTGTTCTGGTGTTAGTCTCATATCCAGTTTGTCCAAAACATGTCTCAACCCGCTTCCCCCTTCCTTGGAGCGAGGTTTCATGGGACAGGGTTGGCAACTGTAAGAGTGGCAAAGCACATCCCATCTTCCCTCTGCTTCAACACTTCTCTGATCCATCAAGTTTAACTTCCTCAACCAACAGAAAATTAAGACAAGGAAATAAAATAAAAAAAAGGAAAGGGAATATTTCTGTAGCGGTTGTAATAGCTGAAGCAGCTCAAAAGAGCCAGAGAAAGGTAATCACCTGCAAAGGAGGGGGTGGGACACTCTTGCTTTTAGCAGGAACAGCCCATTTGAAAAGCTGTGTCACCTCACAAAATCACGTGTATACGTTCACATGGACTATACATACACATCATGTTAAAAATAGGGTCTTTCAGCTGCGTATTTCCATGCTACCTGTATATTACTTGCACACAGCAAGACTCTCAGAGCAGGCAGAGGACATACACCTACTGCTTTAACTTCTGTTTGGTTTAGAGGCCATTTGAGAAGCAGACTCAAGTGGGAAAGTTTTCCCTCAGCTCTTTCCCCAGAGGCCATTTCACTGAAATAAAATTAAAAGCGTTTTTTGTTTCTTTGTTTGTTTTTAAGTGACAGCTCGAGAAGCAGCACCACTTCTCAATGAGCTTCACCACAGGGACTCATCCAGAACACAATGCCTTTTGTTAATGAACCTAAGACAACAAGTGTTTGGGGAATCCTTCAGACAAATTCAGCTTCTTAAACTAAGCAGGTGTATGGCATGTCAAATCTGAGAAAGGCAAAGGAAATGCTAGTATTTCCTGGTCCCTTGTTTGCATGTCAAACTCATGTGGTCCTGAAAACCTCTCATCTCCAACTTACAGTTGAGAAGACCCAGCTGCAGAAGCGATGCCAGGGCTGTAAGGATCATGAAAAGCAGGAGTCCTCCTCTCCTCCCCAGAAACCCGACCACCGGGCACATGGCCAGGCAGGATGCCAGCGCAATCCCAGCCATGGTGTAGTAGTCCGCATAGAAGTTGTGGGTTATCGCCATCTTCGCTTCGTGCCCCATCATGCTTTTTGCAAAACAGTGGTGTATGCCATAACCAGTCAGCCTAGGGGAAACAGGAGAGGGCAAGAGGAGATCATTGCTGAGAAGGCAGCCACACACTGCAAGGTAATTCAGTGTAGGAACATGTTAATGCAGGAAGAATTTCTTCCCCTGCAGGAATACAACACCTAGGGCAAAAAGACTCATCTCAGACTTCTAGGTGCTACTGTAAAAATAAGCAATGATCAAAAGAAGCAAAAGAAAAACCTTTATTCAATCAGACATTTGCAATCTACTGGCTTTATTCACATAGCTGTTGCTTGGGGGTACAAGCAACTGCACAAGGACTCCTAGTGCATGATTGGTTTTCCCAGTGTATTCGAGAACTCCGCTATCTCGAGAAGGGCATCTCTCTGTTCCCAGTGCATCCACTGACAGTCACAGAGCCAGCGCTGCTGCGGTGAAGCTGCCTGCGTGCTTGGACAGCACGACACTGCGTAATACAGATGTGTCTTCCAGGAAGACCTGCCTGCCTGTGGTATTTGGTCGTACTAAACCTCAGTTGCATCTCACTTCCCAAGCTGGCCTGTTACAGCTGAAAACCCCTTAGAAACAAGTATTTGAAGTCACATGTGCTGCAATGATTATTACAATTATGAAAGAATAAGCCCTAATTCAATCTACACATTTACACTACCCTTCACAGCAATGCGTCTCCCCTTCTTTTAAAAGTTCCTTTGTGATGCCAGCAGTCAACACCTCGCTACTCCATTTCACTCCTCTTTCTCCTGTCCCCCCTGACCCCACAGGAGAGCAGAGCAGAGCAGGTGCTGGAGGTACAGAAGTCAGATGAGAAGCCCCAGCATCACCGCTAACGTGGTGCAAAACTGCAGCAGAGCTGCTACAGGAGGTTAATGCTCCCGGCTGCCCCCATTGGAGCACAAATACCCCTGCTGAGAAGGGCCTCCTGTCCCTGGCATTTAGACCAGACAAACCTCATGTCACAAATTAATTGTGCCTGACAGAGCAGCAGGCACAGATCCAGGTCTCCAGAAAAAAAAATGAATGGCAGGTACGTTACACTGATACACCTCTATCCTCCTGAAGGTCAGGAATTTGAAGCTCTGTCAGTGTAAACCAGATATTAATATAAGCATAGAAACAGCTGGGGGAATACGCAATCGCTTAGTGCATGACAGCCCAGGGCCTGGGGAATTTCTCTTGCAATCTTGTGAATCAATGCTATAGTTCAAAAATACACCCCCAGTACCAAACACCTTTCCCCTGGTAAAAACCTAGCACAAATACTTGCTGTTACACAAGAATGTCATTTGCTTTGGATATCGAGATTATAACTGACTCCTCCCGTAAGAGAAATATTAATCAGCAAAACAATATTAATAAGAGGGCAGAGTTAACCAGTGTGTATCTTCTCTTTTTCTTCTGTGCACGCAAACACACTTGCTGAAGTTGTTATTTAGGCCATGACCTGTCATTTGGACTTTACTTTCCAGCCTGCTTCCCCAGGAATTACTCTATTATCTTAACTTGCTGAGCAGCTGAGAACGGTTGCTTTTAAAACTAAATACATTTATCTCCCTTGATGCCTTATCATTCCCTACAGAAGGTTCTTTCTCCATGTTCCACACTACTAAAACTTAGCACAGCCCCAACTAACAGGAATAACAGAATTAAAATTAAATAGTTTTTTTTTCCCATCCCCTAAAAACAAACATGAAAGCTATTTCCTCAAACACGCATCTCCTTCACGCTCTACTTGGATGGCAAACAGCCTCCGTGTGCTATTGCCAGAAGTTATTCTTTGGGCTGCCTAGTTCTGGTTTATGGCATTTCCAAACATGTGTAATTAAAAAGGGTGAGGGAGAAGGGGAGAATTCCCCATATAAACATTTTTCACAAATACAGTTAACACTGGCTATTAAATCCACCAGCTCAGCCTAAGAGGAAAACGCTGTTTCAGAACAGAGTGAATCACCCACTGGTAGGTGGGAGAGAGACACAAAACCCATAAAACCAGAGTTGGTTCTGCAACCAATAACACTGGAGACCAGCCCCGAAGTCCATGTGCCTCTGGGTGACGACCTGCCCAGCGCAGGGGCTGTCCTTTCTGGGTTATGACTGATCCACGAGCCTGCTAACAGGAGCAAAGGCTGCAGGGTAGGGCCCTGAAGAGATGAAGAAAAAGCCACAAGAGAGCTGCGTACTTCTAAACAGAGCAGAGGATGGGGGATTTCCAGTCTTCTCCCCACCTCCCATTTGAAAGGAAACATGAAAGGAATTCAAATGGGCATTTTATAAGATCGGCAAATTAGAAAATCCACTGCTGCTGCCCTCCCAGAAGTTGGGTTTGGTTAGAGGCTAAATTTGCAGCCCATTTATTTCCTCTTTACAAGGTGCCCAGTTCTGGACAGAAGGTCTCAGAGCCTGTAACTGCACAACCCTCAGGCAGATGCCTGGTTCTGCCCATGTAAGCATGTCCAAGCCGAAGCCTTAGGATGCAGGCATCGCATTGCTCTGTGCGAGACTGCACAGTCTCCCTGTGTGCCCCATACATGATTTGGGAGTCGTGAAGCACTTTGTCATCTGCTTTTGAAGACCTATCAAGGACAGCTGTTATACAAGGGAGCAGGCTTGTATTCACTGGCAAGCAACATCTTCCTGTGCAACACAGCTGTATCAGATGTAGAAAACTTGAACTTGCGCTCCTGTGGCATTAATGATTTCAAAAATCCCACCCAGGATGCCAGCAGCAGATGTCTGCGTGCGTGAGCATGTACCAGCTACATGGCCACGCGAGACCACTGGTGACAGCAATACGCTCGCAGCACGACACCTGAGAAGGCACACGGTGCTGCTGCCTGAAACAGCCAATGAGTTCCTCCACGTTTGCCATAAAAAATAATTCCCTGCAACAGCTGGTGTTTTTCCAGGATCATTTCTCAGAGACACTAGTGAAGGGTCCCACACCAGGAAACAGAGGAGCTCTCCCATCGTTTCCTATTACTGCTTCCAGTTCATCAACCACAAAACTATCCAAAAAGAAGATCGGACTTACGAGTTCACACACAATACTACGATGTTTTTCCACAGGTTCCGTGTTCCCACCACTTTCACAATGCAGACTTTCTTCGGTCTCCTGGTGATCTCCTTTTCCAGCTCTGAAACAAACCAAATAAAAATTATTCTTTCACTAGGGAGAACGAGAAGGAGAAGCTTTACTTGTGAACTACAGATATTCTGAGGGACATTCTGGAGAGCAGGACACCATCGATTACACTAACAGGAGCTATAAAAATGCTGAACAACCTGCCTAAAGTCCACCTCAGGTTCTTCCTTTTTTTCCAGGCTTCCTTTAACCTTCTTGGGGCTGAAGTACTGCTCAAGAACTCCTTCACACCCCAAACCTTCTCCCAGTTTAAAATGTGTACATAAAATAGGGGCAGTACAGAGCTTGATCCCAGCAAGCATGATATAAAATTTCTCGAAGAACTTCAGGATTCTGTTAATTTTTAAACCCAGGCAGGACTGTGCTTGTGCAGTTACAAGATCTGATGCCTTTTTACAATGCACACCTGAAAAGCCGTGGAAAGGCCTGGAGCTGAAACTCATTTTTTGTGGGAATCTTTTGAGGTTTGTTCAAATCCAGTTTTCAGAAAGAAATGGCTAGGACACTATGTCAGCTCATCCTCTTTCCCCCTACATTTCAAATATTTAAAATTGTTCTGATGGATGTCTTAAACAGAAGACATTTCCTTAAAGAAAAATCCTTGGGAATCATCAGCTGTGATGTCTTTGCATTTCAGAACTAAAGCTTCACCACGTCCTTAAAGTGCTGGGCAGCTGCAAGCTAACTTCTCTTTGCAAGGCTATAGTAACACACAAGCCTCACAAATATTGCATCTGATATTCTTGTTGGCACGGGACCATAAAGAAGGGCACTGCTTACTTCCCAAATATCATTAGGTTAGAGCTTGGCCACCTACCTAAGCATGCCAACAAAACCACTGTTTCCAAGCTACTGGATCAGCGAGACAGCTGCAAGGGCATAAAGTCCAGTAAAAATGGAAAAAGCTGTAGCTATAAAGAAGCATCACAGAAACGATGCACTCCAAGAGTACAGACTAGGACTGTTTTTTAGGGCAAAGCCTTGTATTGCTGCTTTCTAGACTGACTGCGTTTAAAGGCGGCAGCGTGGCCCCGTTCTGGACGACGCATCCGTTCCCTTCGTGCATACGCAATTAGTCCCGGCGTCCTCAGTTGTCCGCACTGGCCTGCCCCGACCTCTGCCTTACTCCACTGAATAGCAATTTCTTTAAGAGATGCAAGACAGGGAAAAATAAAAGCAAGCTGCGGGGTGGGGGGAAATGAGATAAATCACCCAAATTTACAAACAGAACAAAAGACACATTTGTCTTCTGTTATTTGAAAATTATATCATAAAAATAAGAAATCAAAGAAACACTATTTATAAGCAAATAGTTGAGCTATTCACTGCTCACAGGTCACTCCTGGTCTTCTATCTAGAGTAACTACAGGGAACGCTTCTGAGAAAAGCAGCAAAGGGTATTTTACATTAATGATTGTACTTCAGCAAAATATTGCTGTACTACTTTCCCTCCTACCTGATAATATCCACTTCTCCCCAGAATCTACACAGCATGAAGCTCACAAAGCATAAAAACAGAGGTGGAGCAAAAGAGGAAATCGGTCAAATTAATATTTGTACTACAGGAGCACTCAGCAGGCTCAGCAATAGATCAGGGCTATATTAAAAATATAAGCAATAAAAAAAAGATGGTACCTAATTTCAAAGCACAAGGTCAAAATGATTTTTGTAGCAAGATCCTGGAAAGGAGTAAGTGGGAATAAAATAATTCAGAACAACTGAAGCAGTTAGATAAAACATAGTTATAAAGCCTATAATTGAGCCCAAGCCAAACTTTCTACAGTGAAAAAGTCAAAGCAAGCACTAGAAGCAGCACAAAGGTTTTGAAAAGCTGTTGATGACTGTTTACCGTTTCAGCTGAAGGGCAACAATGAAAATCACCACCCAAACACCACATATTGCACAGATTTCATGTGGACATAAGCGTTCACTCTGAAACTGTCTAAGAATGACCAGATCTGGTCTGTCAAAGTAAAACATCTCTTCCATCAGCAGAAGATAGTCCCTGATGGCATATTCTTCAGATTTTCTTAATTTGGGTTCTTTTGTTTCTCAAAGTCATTTTTACTTTTTTCTTTGGGAAGAGAAAGTAGATTTTATTGTCAATACGTGCTTTATTGAGCCACAACTTAATAGAATTAAGAGAAGCAACACTTAACTTGGTTACACTTCTCTGCAGAGCCAGGCATTATTTTGCCCTCTGCTCCTGCTTTGTTCATACATGAGGGGTTGCTACAATCCACATGTTCTTGATTTATTGTCACACATCCTTCCCTTGCTCACTCAGGCCCCCTTTTAACCTTTCCTATAAATCAGTCCTTTCAAACTAATTCCCATTACTGTTTTTCACTGAACTGCTGTTCTGCCCTCACGTAATGAATAGCCCGTAGGTTATGTGAACTGGGAAACACATCCTCTGCTTCAGCTGCAGTGAGAATCCCACACGAGGGGGATTTCGCCCCTTCTGTACCCTGCCTCATGCAGCAGCCTCCTTTCCGTAGATTCTTGCTTCTGCTCCGAGGGGGGTTATACTCCATGGATACACAGGATCATTATACGAAAATGTCCCAAAAGAGATTCCAGATGTAGTTGCATTACAAGGATTAAAAAAAAGCACCAAAGGAAAAAAAAAACACACCCCAACAGAAAAAACAAAAACAAAGGGAAAAAAAGAAAGAAAGAAGAAAAAGAAACTGGCTTCAAATATTACACCAAAGAATGCAAACAGCACCTGACTTTTTACTGCAAGCCTTCTGGCTCTATCAGCTATTTACTCCTCCATTCCTCTGTGATGTATTAAAACACCAAATCTAAGTCACCTGCTTCAGATGAATGACTCTCTCCAAATCTCCAACACCATCTATCTTTCTGATGACTTTCTCCATCCTTTACTTCTACATATACCAGTCAGCTGGTCCCAAAAAAACCAACAAAACAAACCACCCAACCCAAACCCTGCCACCCCAAAATCAATCATTTACAATAATCAAATATAATCTGGATAGCAATAAATAAGCTATATGACTTGCAAAAAGTCATCACCTACTGAACTGGCTCTCATTTAAGTGGCCTGCTGTTTTTGGAGGTAGCCTGCTTTGCACAAAAGGACCTGCTCTGACTGACTGTGCCGGGCATCAGGAGAGCAGCAGCTCTTAGCCTGTCTGGACTTCATAGGTCAATGTTAAGATCTTAAAAGAGAAGTCAAGCCAATGCCTATTAAAACCCCATGGAAGCAAACTACTGCTCTCTCAGTCACTGGAACAAAACCAGGAAAACTTTCCCTGCCCCCAACCTATTCTTTGATTTTGCACTGAAGTCACCAGTTCAGAAGGAATTTGCATTAAATGTTTCATTTCTGACTGATTTACCAGAAGGGCAAGTGTGGAAAATTAAAAAAAAAAAAAAAATTATCCATTTACTCAGAGGCCCATTATGAGTTTTCCCATACTCTGGAGCCCACACACACTCTAGGCTTCCTATTCAGGGACTCAGTAGGAAAACTGTCAACAAGCTAACTCTTTATATCTCAGTGGAAATTAAAACTATTCATTGGGAGACTTTAAAAGTCTCATGGGGAGGGGAACCCTACCAGCTTCCAGCTCCCAACGCTGTTGAATTCTCATGGGATCCTCTGCGTTTCAGGAGCACAGCTTTCAAAATCAGAAAGTATCTTTAAAGCCTTCAAATGAAGCCACCCATCTCTGCATCACTTGGCAAAGACAAAATAGACAAAGCTCAAATCAAGCTGCTGAAAAAGGATGTCCAAAATGACAAGCGTCCTGTGGTGATGGACTTCTGCTGGATTTTTCTGGCTGCTAAACGATACTGTCAGTAGCTCTTTGAACACGAAAAGAGCTATGGAAGCCCGGCACAGAGGCTCAATCAATCCCCGGAGCACGACAGCTCTGCAGCAGGAGGTAGATCGGTCCAAAATGCAGAGCTGAAGCTACAGCCGCACTGAGTTAGTGGTACACAGGGTTATTTATACCTTCCAGGATTTCTGTCTCCATGAACTCCCTTTGTGCTCATTTATTTATTTTTTTTGCAATCATGGAGGACTAGCAGCCTGATACATTGCATTTTTGAAAAGCCTAATAGTAAAGCAATATTGAAGGGTATTAAGTCACATACAGAAATTATGAGGTAGGTAAGGAACTGATTGATGGGCAGACAGCAATGAGGGGCAGAAAAATGGAAATCATAAGCGGATGGCAGGAGGTTAGTGGTGGGGTGACTCATTCTCAAAAAAAAAAAAAATCTAGTTTAGCAATCTCACTAGGGAGCTTGGCACAAACCTTAGGAATGTGCCAAGGAAGTCTGCTGGTGACGAAGTGAGGCACTGCCAGCAGTACAGCACAGAAATGGGACATCAGAAGGAACAGGGTGAGCTTGAGACCAGGTGTGGCAAAAGCAAGTAAAAAATGCAAAATACAAGGCAAGACACTCAGGAATTAATGGGAAATGCTTCTGCTGGAAGATAATACTGTGTTGGACTTGGTTATATACTCCTTGATCACAAGTGACTGTAAGGTACCAGTCTGTTGTGTCCATGAAGTATTTGCAATTCAGACAATGAAATACTGATTCTCTTTTACAATTCTGGTCATCAGTATTTGAGAAACTAAAGCCTTGGCAAGCCTATTTATAAAAGGAGAGGCGATAGATGAGAACTTCAGCCCAGCAAAGGAACGGGGCTGCTGTCTGCTCATATAGTATGGGAAAAGAGAAAAAGAGATTTAAGGTAAAGATAGTCACAGACAAGAGCAAATGGGAAGGGAAAAAAGACAAAGAACGTGGACAGCTATATATCTGAACTGAATGCTAAAATGTATCCTACTACAAGAGCAATCTGGATTCTGGAATGGCTTTCCAACAAAAGTGCAGGATATAAATACTAAGAGCATTTAAAATGAAGCTCATTTCTTGAGAGCAACTGTATAACTCGATGACTATAATAGCAAAGGACTGATTGCAATAATTTGTTTCAATCCT